TATTTTCCACAAAAAGAAGCCATAGAAAAGTGGTAAGGCTGCACTCTGTCAAAGGCAGAAAACTTGCAAGACCTGGAAAAACAAGGCAGTCCTGTCAAGCTCTGGATCTTACAGGTTTCACTGTAATTTAATTATCCCAACAACCCTACGAGATATAGGTACTATTATCTTCAAGTTACAGATGAGGTACCTGAGCTTAGAGATACTAGGAAACTTGCCTTGGCCATACAGCTATAAGTGGCAGAGCTCTAACCCTAGGCTACCCCAGCCCTTATACCTACAGCCTCTGGCCATCTCTTTCTTGCCCTGGTGCTGGCAGAAAGGAGGAAGCACTGCTTTGGCAGTGTGGTGGGATGAGTAGGAGTAGGGTTCCAATCCCAGCGCCACCTCTGTCCTGTGTGACCTTGCACATATTACTTAACTACTAAGCCTCAGTTTCCTCATCTGTAAAATAGGAGTAAAAAGCCCTTACCCTCGCACCCCCCACCCCAGATTGTTACATGGATCAAATACACAGATACATGTAGAGCACATAGCACAGTAGCTGACACATGGTTCCGTCTCAATAAACTTCATTATCTCCAGCCCTTACCCAGCCCAGCCAGATTCTGCAGGGCTCAGAGGAAGGGGCCCCTGGCTTGCAGTCAGAATGACAGGTTTATAAGCACAGCTGTTGTTTGGGTCCTGGAAGCTTGCTTGCCATGTGTGCCCTTCATTGGGCAATACGCAGCCCTGCCAGCCAGGGAGTGGGCTTCCTCCTCCTCCAGGTCTGTGCCAACTCCCCTCCCCTCCCCACCCCACCCACACCTAGCCAAGAACAGCTGGAACTGGGCTAGGCTTGGCATATATGGCCTATGGACCCTTTGTAATCCCCTGCAGCCCACCGGGGCTCCTCAGCCAGCTGAAGTCTGGCTGGCATGGAGCAAAGGCTGCCCTGGACATCCATCCATCTTCCCTGCCTGTCTCTGTCCCTTACTTCAGAGAACGAGAAGGGAGGGGTGTGACAGTTGGGGACAACTGGGTGTCCCTCGGTGGCACAAATATTTTGAACTCGGCTGCTAATCTAAAGGTTAGCAGTTCAAACCCACAAAGCAGTGCCACAGAGGAAGGACCTGGAGATCTGCTTCCATTATGATTACAGCCAAGAAAACCCTATGGAGCAGTTCTACTCTGCACACATGGGGTCACTGTGAGTTGGAATCAACTTGACAGCAACAGGTGGTTTTGGTTATGTGCCAAGCGAGTGCTGAGGACTTTACATTCCTTCATGCTCCTGAGCTTGTCTCCTGTTGTGGCGATAGCCCCTAACAAGCCCCCTGCCTCCGCCCCCAACATCTCAACACAGCAGCCAGGATGGGCCTGTTACAGTGTGAGACGGATCATGCCACTCCTACAAACAACCCTTTAGTGGCTGTCTCTCTTACAGAGATACAGAAAAAGCCAGCCTGTATCAGCTGGCGGTGTGACTTCAGCAAGTCACATCCCCTCTCTGCTTTGTTTCTGCACAGGGAGCACCTGCCTCATACGGTAACTGTGAGTGTTAAATGCATTAACAGAGGGAGCTGCTTAAAACAAGCCTGGGCTTGTGGGAAGTGCTAAGTAATTATTAGCTTTATCATTATTGTGATTACAATAGCCCACAGTGCCCCACGGCTGGCCGGCTGCTCTGCCTGGTTCACTCGCTGCAGCCACACTGGCAGCATCTTCGCAGTGCACTTCCCACCTTTGTACCTGCGGCGCAGCTACCTGCAGCACCTTCCCTCTCCTTAATGAGGCCCTCCCTGACCACCCTATTTAATGTTGAAACCTGTGTCCTCCTCCCATCCCCGTCACAGTCAGTTCCCCTTACCCAGCTTTATTTTTCTCCATAGCATTCATTGGCACCTGGGACACACCGTATTTCTCTTATTTACTGTCCACCTCCCCACCACACAGGAGTCCCTGGGTGGTACAAGCCATCGAGTGCTGGACTACTGACTGAAAGGTTGCCAGTTCGAACCCACCCAGAAGCACCTCAGAAGACAGGCCTGGTGATCTGCTTCTGAAAGGTCACAGCCTTAAAAACTCTGTGGAGCAGTTCTACTCTGCCCACATGGGGTTGGAATCAACTCGATGGCAACTAACAGCTCCCCACCACACACACACTTGAGTGTAAGCTCTGTGGAGACAGAAACTGTTGTCTCTTGTCCACAGCTGTGTCCCCAGCACCTAGAACAGTGCCTGGCACAGAGTAGAAGCTCAGTAATTATTATTATTATTGATTGTGCTTTAGGTGAAGGTTCACAGAGCAAATTAGTTTGTCATTAAATAATTAATACACACATTGTTTTGTGACATTAGTTGCCAACCCTGTGACGTGTCAACACTCCATGATTATTGTTGAATCAACAAATGAACCCAAGAAGGATATTTGTACCCCTATTTTACAGGGAAGGAAAGGGCAATTCAGCAAGATTGGGGCTTGCCTGAGGCTGGAGCTGTGAAGGAGGGGGATTGTCCGACTCCAGAGCCTCTGCTGTCTGCCTGCCCATGTGTCTAATGATTGTCTGGCCACCCGCTGCCCAACTCCCTGGCACAGTGCTTTGTCCTGAGTGGAGAGGGGCTCCAGAGTGGCAGAAGGACAAGGAAGTATTTCAGAAGCCCTTGAAGAGGGAGGAGGAAGGCCCCAGGAGGCAGCCCAGTGCATCTGGCTCAATGATCCTGCAAGTGATGCATATTTAGACTGAGAATGCATCGCTCAGCTCCGCACCCCCCGCCCCAGCCCAGCCCTGGGTCCTGGGACTTGGAAGCAGGCCTTCAAACCCCTGCTGAGAATTTGCATTTCTAAAAGTTCTCAGAAGTTATACATAAGAATCACCTGGGGATCTTATTAAACTATAGATTCTGATTCAGTATATCTGGTGTGGAAAAGCAAATTCTCAGCAGGAAACTTGTTAGAAATGCAGATTTTCAGCAGGGATTCAAACTGGAACGAACCAGCTCGAAGACCTGCTTGGCAGAGTGGTGAGCACTTTGATTCACAATCTCATCTGATCCTCACAGCAGCTGGGTATAGTAGGTGTCATTATCCCCATTATACAGGTAAAGAAAGCGAGGCTTAAAGAGGTCAAGTTAATTGCCAAGACCTCTCATAGGAAATGGCAGGTCTTTCTGATGCTGTGCTCTTATCTGCTGTCTGAAGTTCCCCCTGAACAGTCAGGGAACGTCTACTGAGGCCCCCAGAACTGAAGGGGCATGACAGTGGGTGCTAGGTGCCAAGTTTACAGCCCAGTGGGCAAGCGCAGGAAGAGCTGGGACATCAGCATGGGCCGGGCTGGTCACCAAGACTGAGAAGGGTTCAGCCAGGTGAAGGGCAAAGGGAGGCCGTTCCAGGTAGAACAACACAATCTGTGTTTGCAGGATAGTGCAAAACCTCGTGCGCTGGGAGGCAGTGAGCTCAATGGTTTGTCTGGAGCGGAAAGCCCAAAGGGCAGAACTGGTGGAAAAGCTGAGAAGGTGGGCTGGGTTCCAGAGCTGGAAAGCCCAGCACGTCACTACAGTTCTGTAGTGGGTGCTGTCAGTCTGCTCTTTCCCCACTGGGGGCAGGAAGGCCTGGAGGAAGAATTGACATTAGCAGTGTGTCCGCTCTGAGCAGGGTCTACAGGGCTGCATTCACTATCTGGAGGGGTAGAAGGTCAGTGGAAATAAAAAAATGGGTTGGTATGAGGCTTAGATCCAAGGACAAAGCTGCTTGTCACTTCCCTGCTGGGGAGAGGAATGTCAGCTGCCAGCATTCCCAGGGACTTTCCCCCGCAGCAGCCATGGCCTCAGGAACAATCACCAGCGTGGCTGGTAGAACCTTGAGAAACTTCACTGGTGTCATGTCCACCAGCGACTTTTCAAGCCCCTCACAAGAGGGCACTTTCAACCAGTGGTGTGCTGGTAAATGTTTAACAGCCAACTCTGGCAGGGGGAAAGCACCGTTTGTAGCGTTTGATGACTTTCATGGTGTAATTACTCCCACCATGGCCAATATCGAGCTACCAGTGTGCTGTCACTGAATGCAGAGTGGGGAAAAGAGTCACACTGTCGGCCATCGAGAGCCCATGTAAGCCGGCTTCCGCACACCACTGCTTTCAACTCCCACCTCAAGTGTGTGCACACACACACACACACGCACACACACACACTTTCAACAACTTTCAGAATCTCCACCAAGTTCTACTCACATCCCATCATGACAGCGGGGCATTAGCAGGAGCCCTGGGAGGAAGAAGCCAGCCACCCTGTGTGTCCCTGAGTCACAGGGCCAATCAGTCTTCCCCTGGGAGATACTTGGTGTCTTGTCACAGTCAGCCCCACTCATTAGCCCTGAGAGAGTCCCCAGGGTGGGTCCAAGTGCTCCATATGTTGGCATCAAGGATGTCATCTCCCCAACAACCAGAAATCACCAGGTCACAGAAATCCTAAGTCAGACCTCAGTCCCAAAAGGAGGCTGTGGAGCCATGTGAGACAAATGGGTATGCAGGTGTCACTGTGTAGAGTGTCTCCTCACCAGCCTGGTACCCCAATTCCACTCAATTGTCAACCTTCACGATTACTTGCCAAAAGACCCATCTTAGAATCCTGAGTCTTCTTTCCCTCCTTCTCCCCGTCCTGGGGCAGACCCTAAGTGACTGGAGGTGATGGCTCAAGGGGCTGAAGGTACCCGAGGGGAAGGGCCACGGACGCCCTGCCAAGGCTGCTGGTTCAGGGGGCATGGGAGCAGCCAGGCCCAGAAACCAGCCATGGGCCTCCCATTTCAGCTGCCCACTGTCCGAGGGTTGGACAGCCTGTGGGGAAGGGCAGCTGGCCAGCTGAGGCCTTCGCACAGATGTGCAACTTGAGTTGGTAAGGATGAGTCTGAGCTGGCATCCCCAGGGGCTCCCATGTGAGTCCAGGGCCCCCAAGGGTGTCTGCTGTCCTGAGAAACCTCACCCCTTCTCTCCTGGTTGCCCCTCCTTCCCCACCCCGCTCTGTAGGTTTTTCATCATCAAAGAGAGCTTTCTGCTTTACTACTCTGAGAGTGAAAAAAAGAGCTTTGAAACCAATAAATACTTCAATATACATCCTAAGGTGAGGTGACCTCTCCCAGGGCCACAACTGGGGAGGGTCCACTGGGGGCAACAGGGAATGGGGCCTTGTGAGGGTAAGGGACTGTCCGTGGTCTTGCTCTGGCTTAGCAGAGAGTCTGGCAAGCAGATTCTTCTAGAGGAGAGAGACCCCCTGTCTCCCTTCTGGGTTGGCCTCCCACCCTCCTGTGCCTCAAAGCTTCCCTTCCCCTCTGAGTTACCTGGCCTCTGTCTAGTGGCCCAGGGTCTAGCTTCCAGCCTGAGGTCATTGGCAGGACCTGGCTTTGGCTGAGGCCCCCAGGGACCCTGAGTGACTTGGGCTGGGCGGGGCTGGGGCTGCCTCCTCTGGTTCTTCCTCAGGGTGTCATCCCTCTGGGGGGCTGCCTGGTAGAGGCCAAGGAAGAGCCCAGCATGCCCTACGCCATGAAGATCTCTCACCAGGACTTCCATGTGAGTAAAGCTCTCTACTCAGCCTGGCTTCCCCAGATCCCCAGGCTCCCTAGGGTGACCACTCCAGAGGCCTGCCATAGGGCCGTGGGGTGGGGGTGGGAGACCAGACCTGTGGGCACAGCCTCCATCACCCTTGGAGGGACCCACCTCTCAGGCAGCCCTGTGGCTCCTCTTCCTGGCAGGGGAACATTGTGCTGGCTGCTGAGTCCGAGTTTGAGCAGGCCCAGTGGCTGGAGATGCTGCAGGAGTCTGGGAAGGTGTAAGTCCTTACAGGAAGCAAGGGCAGCCCGAGGGCTCGGAGGGGGAAGGGGTATGGGCTGGGCACCTCCGAGCTCCCTGTGTCTGCTGGGATCCCAGTGGGCACTGAGGTCCTCAGGAGAGGGCAAGGCAGGGAGGGGGCTTTCTGGGCTTCCTTGAAGACAGGGCTGTGGGCATGGGTGAGCGTGGGTGAAAGGAAACAGGCAGTTTTAGTCAATCTGTGAGGGTTCTACATGAGCGCTGAATGCCACTGCTTTCTAGAGTCACTGTTGGCAGATGTGGCACCATTTTGTCTCCAGCTCTTGGGAGCCAATTTAGCATCACTCCTCCAATTTGGCCACCTCTCCATACCCACCTCACCTCCCCAGCCCATAGTTAATCCTAGTGGAGACTGGAGCTAGGGCTTGTAAATCAGGGTCCAGAACACGGAAACCCCAGCCCAGCACAGTCCATTTGACCCCTGCCCCGGCACCTGTCTGTTTGAGCTGGGCTGTGCTTTTAGTTCAACCCATAACACTGAGTGTGCCCATGCCAGGCCTTGGGCTAGGTGGTGGGCATTGGGTGATGTACGAGCAGCCCAGGAAGCAATCTCGTCCCTTCTCTGAGAGTGCTGTTGGCCTGGCCCCCAGTGGCCCACTTTGCAGCCTGGGCTGGCCTCCAATTACTGTAACCAATCAATGCTGGTGGTGTGCCCAGAGCACTGGGTGCCAGGAAGAGCTCGAGCTGGGGTTCTGGAGGAGAAAGGATGGACGAGTAAAAACATACACATTCTCTTCTTCCTCTTCCCTTCTGTTCTAATGATGTTGTGTTTCTTCCTCTTCTCTCTGCTTTCCCATCTGCCCTCCCTCCCCAGGACCTGGAGGAACGCCCAGCTAGGAGAAGCCATGATCAAAAGCCTGGAGGCCCAGGGCCTGCAGTTGGCCAAGGAAAAGCAAGAGTATTTAGGTTGGCTGGCAGGATGGACTGGAAGCTGAGTGGAAGAAAGACCTAGCAAACTGCTTCCATAAAGATTATAGCCAAGAAAACCCTGTGGAGCAGTTCTACTGTATAACACACGGGGTTGCCGGGAGTCGGGGGCCGACTCAATGGCAATAGGTTTTGGTTTGTTTTTTTTTATCTTTCTTTTTTTTAATTGTACTTTACATGAAGGTCTACAGAACAAATAGTTTCTCATTAAACAGTCAGTACACATACTGTTTTATGACATTGGTTAACAACCCCACAACATGTCAACCCTCTCCCTTTTCGACCTTTTTTTTTTGGTGAGAATATACATAGCCAAAGATACACCATTTCAAAAACTCCTACATGCACAATTCAGTAACATCAATTACGTTCTTCCAGTTGTGCTGCTATTCTCACTTTAGATGAAGGTTTACAGAACAAAATAGTATCTCATTAAACAGTTAGTACACATGTTGCCCTATGACAATGATTAACAACCCCACTACATGTCAACACTGTCCTTACTCAACCTTGGGTTCCCTATCACTAGCTTTCCTGTCCCTTCTGGCTGGTTTGTTTTTTGGTGGTTAAGAACCTGGACTCTGGACCCAGCTTCATCACTTGTATATTAGCTGTGTGAGTCTTTAGGCAACTCAACCTCTCTGAGCCTCCATTTCCTCATGCTTAAAATGGAGATAAAAATAGTCCCTGCCTTTTAGAGGTGGTATGGGGATTAGGGGGATTGGTGAAATGAGAAAATGAGTGTAGGCACTTGTGTCTGGCGTGTGGTAAGGGCTTCATAAATGTAGTTGATGCTGTTGTCCTGCCCTGGACCTTCAGGTCCTAGACTTGCCCCCATGGTCCCCCTTCCCAGTCCACTTTAGACCTGACCACAGGTTCTAGGTCCCTGTGCCCTGGAATGGCTAGTAAACACACTCTGTTTTGGAGACAAGGCAAGACCGGGTGTTTGGTCCTGCACCTGGGGTCTCTAGGTCCTGACAGACACTTGAGGCCCCAGCACTGATTCCCCTCTGCCTGCTCCAGACACCCACCTGCTCCCAAGACCTGCCCTCCTCCACTAGCCAGACACTAGCACAGGTGGGAGGTAGGCTGGGGATACTTCCCCAGCTAACAACATCCCTGGGGGCACAGAAACCCACTTGAGCTTCAAGGGCGAGGCCCTGCCATTGCTCGTGAGTGGGGGATGATGGTGGGAAAGGAGGGTGACAGCTCAGGCCAACGTAGCAGCGTCCATCCCCAGGAGCTGGCCCCACTCTCTGGCCAACATGGCCGTGGCAATGCTGACCTCTTCCTTGGGAGGGCTGGGGGTCACCCTCAGACCTCAGAGCTGGAGTGAGCTCTTTGTGACAGTGTGTGTGTGCTTGCTTTGGCAGATAAACTGATGGAGGAGACGGAAGAACTCTGCCTGCAGAGGGAGCAGAGAGAGGTAGGCACACACTCAGAATTGCTGCCCCTCCCCACCCACCTCTCACCTTGTGAGGCCCTTGACAACCAAGGTGTACTGGCTTGGGTTTCTAGCATTAGGGAATGGTGTAGGGGTGCTGGACACCCAGATAACTTGCTGGACAATCAGACAGGGCAGAGCCGGGGGCCAAGTGAGATGACTGCTTGGAACTTGCTGCAGCTTCATGGCAAGAAGTGTACGTCTCCTCACCATCCCCCGAGAGGAAAGTCAAAGGGTGGCGCCTTCCTCCTAGAGTAAGAGCCATCCAAAAATTTGACTAGCTGTGTCAGTAGGTGAGGAGTTGTTCGTCAATGGTGGTGTTCACAGGGAGGTTGAGGGTGGCCTCTATCATCCATAGACGGGCTTGTGGCAGTATGAAGTGATTGGATTTCATCATCTCAGAGGTCCCTTCATTCTCTAAATGTCAGCAGTACAAGTCCTGAAAGGGCCAAGCATTAGGAGCTCTAGTGGCAAAGTGGTTAAGTGCTCAGCTGCTAACCAAAAGGTCAGCAGTTCAAACCTACCATCTGCTCCTCAGGAGAAAGATGTAACAGTCTGCTTCCATAAAGATTAACCGAAAAACCCACTGCCATCAAGTCAATTCTGACTCATATCGACCCCGTAGGGTTTCCAAGGCTATAAATCTCGAGAGAAGCAGACTGCCACATCTTTCTCCTACAGAGCCATAGATTTCGAACCGCTGTCCCTTCAGTTAGCAGTCAGTTGCTTTAACCACTGTACCACCAGGGCTCCCTAAAGATTAAACAAAAAACCCCGTTGCTGTCGAGTTGATTCCAACTCATGGTGACCCTATAGGACAGAGTAGAGCTGCCCCATAGGGTTTTCAAGGAGCAGCTGGTGGATTTGAACGGCTGACCTTTTGGTTTGCAGCCGTAGCTCTTAACCACTGCCCCACCAGGGCTCCCCCTAAAGATTATAGCCTTGGAAATCCTGTGAGGCAGTTCTGTTCTGTCCTACTCTCTCCTATAGGGTCGTTATGAATCAGAGTCAGCTCGATGGCAACAGGTTAGCCTGTGAAGTAGACGAGACCCTTGTCTCATTTGATGGTGGGGAAGCCACTGAAGTCCATTTCATGTGGAACTTCCCACATCATCAGGCCTCACATATTCCGAGGAGTCAGTCAGTCACCACCCTGGAGGGCAGGGGAGGGCAGTGGTTAATGATGTGGATTCTGAAGCCAGCTGCCTGTGTTTGTATTTTACCTTTACCACTTATAGCTGTGTGACCTTGGACAAGTTACTTGACCTCTCTGAATATCAATATTCTCATCTGAAAAATGGGGAAAATAATACATTCCATTTTGCTAGAGACATTGTGAGGAGTAAGTGAGATGTTACATATGAAATACTTGGCACATGATAACGTGCTTAATAAATATCTGTGGCTGTTATTATTACAATCATGTTATTATTAATTATGGGCCCATCGTGCATGGGAGCTGCCTGGGGCCTGAACCTGCAGGGTGCCTTGGCCAGGGGAGCCAACAGAGACAGAGCCTGATGCAGTCCACTTCTTTTTGCCCATTTGTTTTTCTTTGCCCTCTCCTGAGCAAGTCACGGTTCATCCTTGGCTCAGCCTTGGCTCCATGCCTGACTCTCTGATTTGACTCTTGATAACCCCTTACCCCTCCCAGCTTGTCCAGGAAAAGTGCAGACCACCCTTCACTAAGTTCTAAAACAGGCCCTACAGTCAAGAAGCACCACATCCCCGTTGTGCCCCAAAGCTTCCCAGTGCCTGGCACATCACCTAGCCCAGGATGCGTGCTTGGTCAGTGTGTGTGGGCTGAATCAGTGCATGGACTCTCACGCCTTTACATTACATTTTGATTCTCATCCCAGCGGATAGTCCACCTTCATTTTTCTTCTTCCAAAATTTTTTCAGATATTCTTGCCCATTTATTCTTCCAGCTAGACTTCACAACCATTTTGTCAATCACCAAAACTCAATCCATTGCAAGTTGCATTAGGGTTGCAGGAGTTTGAGGCTCAGCATCCTGACAGCCTTGAGCCCTCTTCCCCTCAGCGGTGTCTTGGGTGTCCCATATCCCCAGGCCCTCATCTAAGTCCTGCGCTAGAGTTTTGGCATTTTCTTCATACACTTTTGTACAATTTAAGAAGTGAGACTTTTAGGAGGTTGTCAGCAACATAAAGACAAGTGATCCAGGAAGCCAGGGGTGGGATGGAGTGACAGACACAGCCACTGGTGGGGAGAGAGACAGCCTTATCCATCAGAGAGGCGAAATCTGGGACAGCAGTAAGCTGGAGGAAAATTTAGACACTCTATCTAGGTCTTTAGCCACAAAATGAGGGCAGCGGAGACCTACTGCACACAGGCCTTGCTTAAAGCCACGGCACACTGAAGGAGGGAGGCCCGTCAGCTGTGAACCTCTGGTACAAAATGTGGTAAGACTCAACACAGGCCCAGCTGGTATCGCGAGGAGGCTGCTCTGGGCAGACCGGGAGAGAACTGTGCCCAGGTTCCATTCCCCTGTCAGCTGAGTGCTCTAGATCAGGAATAGAACTCAGATCTATTCCTGGCTTTGCCACAGAGTCATTCTGCCAGGGGTTTTCCTTCCTCTGCTTGGTATGGGTCCACCTTTCCCATTTCCACACCAGGCCCCAGAGATCATCTGTGTGTGTCTTGGGCCTCTTGTGCATTTGGTCGAAGGTCCAATGATAAGATGAAGATTCTTCTGATCATTCGTGTGGTCTCTGAGAGGCAGCCTGGCCTAAAGGAAGACTCAGGGTCTGGAGTCAGGAACCCTCACTTAGAGTCTCAGCTCTGTCACTGGCCACGTGACCTCACTGAGTTTCAGTTTCTCCCTCTGTGACACTCTGATAAAGCTAATGCTTGCTCCTGCCCCACTCCTGGATTGCTGTGAGGGTACCTGAAACAGGATGCAGCGAGTGCTTTGTGGGTTACAAAGGCACATGCAGACGTGGGCCGGGTGATGGTGGCGCAGCCCTGATTCCTCCATGTGTCAGGAGGGCCTGGGACTCTGGGGGCCAGAGCAGAGCATGCAGGGGAGCCATGCTGGATTCAGTTGCCTGGACCCAGAAGAACATGCCCTTCCTTGGATGCAGGTCCCCCAGGGCTGCCCAGCCCCCGTGGCCTTATCTCCGTCATCCCTGGAAGTGGGCAGCCTCCTGCCCACCTTCCTTTTTCTGGCTGAACTGTGAGGGCTCTGCTTTGCATGTGGGCATGCACAAAGAGAAACCGGAAATGCCCGGGGCCAGCCTTGCGAGTACAAAATGTTAGTATAGTTAATATAGTGAAGATTCCAACCGATTAATTTATAGTCTCAATGCAATTCCGGGGTGGGGAGGAGAGAAAAAACCAGTGAGATTTTTTTAAAATTCCATTCATTCATGCTACACATGTGTGCTTAATGTGTGCCGAGCACCTGCTGAGCTACGCACTGAGGATATCAAGATGAGTGAAAATGTGGCTGTGTCACAGAAATTACGGTCTAGTGTGAGCCCCCAACCAATCAGGAGCCTAAGCCACTGCCTTTTTTTTCTTTTTCAAAAGGATAATTAGCTTTGTGGAAGACTGGAAATCACGTTTTGTGAAGGATGGTAAACAAATTGTTTGGCCTGCAGGAGAGATGACACGGGGACAGAATAGCTGTTCCAAATACTTGAGAGGAAAAGGGATTAGTCTTGTTCTGTAGCCCCAAGGGGAGACATCAGACCCACTGACAGAAATTATGAGGAGGCAGATTTTGACTTAAATGGAACTGATGGCATGAAATGGGATGTCCCTGCTCCTAAGCACCTTGAGGAACTCGGCATGGCTGGGAGTCAGCTGCCATCCTTGGCGTGGCCAGTCTTCTGGTTTCCTAAGAGCTGTTAACCAGCTCTTATTTTGCTGACTGGGATATATAAGCTTCAGGGCTGAGGGGGCAGGGGAGAGGTGTATGGCTGAGAGAAAGTTCTAGAGAGTGAAGCAGCTGCCTAAAGGAGAGAAAATTTGAGCAAAGGACAGAGATGGCCAACGGGGTTTCGGAGGGAAGTTATTGTTCCATGGATGAGATGTAGGCCCACAAAACTTTCAGCAAAGTCTACGTCATCAGTGTGTACTTGCAGCTTTCAGAGAGTGGCAGTCCCGAGCCTGGCAGAGGGTTGAGCCTGAAAGGAAGAATTTTTTATCAGCTTGTTCAGGGATGATGTGGGCTACCTTAAAACCAGATGCCATCAAGTCGACTCTGACTCATGGCAACCCCAGCTGTATCAAAGTAGAATGGTGTGCCATAGGGTTTTCAATGGCTGATTTTTCAGAAGTAGATCGCCAGGCCTTTCTTCCAAGGTCCGTCTAGGTGAACTCAAGCCGCAAACCTCAGGGCGTTAACCATTTGCACCACCTAGGGACTGCCGGACTACCTTAAGAGGGGGCATTCCCTGTCGTGGAGAGCCATTCAAGCAGAGCTTGGATTATCTCTTGGAGGAAAACCCAAGCAGGGGATTCAAGTGTCTAATAAAGACCAAATTACCTTTAAAGTTCCTTTGACCCTGGAAGACTCCAATTCATGGATACCTGTTTCTCTGATCCTTTCACACAGCAGTAAATGCTGCCCAGATACATGTAATTTTGGCCCAGGTAGAAAACAGCATCTTACCACATGTTCCTGGGGCCAACTGTGGGGGTGGATGGGAATAAGAAAAGCCAAATGATTATTTTACCATTCAGGCGGGTCAGTTTTACCTTCTGTTTCTTGGAGACATAACTGGGGGCTGCTGGTGAAAATGAGAATGTAATTTGGAGGTAGAAGATGAGAAAGATAGAATATCCTCCTACAGTGTAAAATGTCAAGAAACAAACCATTGTCACAAAAACGCTGCAAGCCAAACCTCCCTTGTAAGTGTTCCCCCAGCACCACCTCCCAGTGAACCCCGGGAAGATAGGACCCCTGAAGGCACATACTTGCAGCGCGTAGTGGCTCGTGATCAGGTTCATAAAGGGACTGGTCTCTTTCCCCTTCCCCTCACCTGGCTCCAGGGCCTGTCCTGGGCTTTTTGTCTTTCCTGCACTCTTGGGGCTGAATACCTGTGAAGCTGCAGTCATCTGGGCTCATTGCTTTCCAGATACCTTAAGCAAAAAATCTCCTAATTCTTTGACTCTTGGGTTAGAAATGGCTTGCTTTTCTTTTTTCTTTTCTTTTTTTGCCTTTCCTAGCCAGTACCACTCTAGGGCTCTTTAAAGGAAATATACACTCACCACTTTCTCCTCCAGGGCTTGAGGGCTAGCCAACCTGCCTTAGGGTGTCAGTGACTGGAATTTCCCAATGTAGTAGACGTCCAGAATTATAATCATATGCAGCTGCAGGAAAATAATGTTAGGATCATTTCTAAACCTGCATTCAGCATGCTAACAGTGTTTTTTAATGGGCCACGTTCATTACAGGTTTTGGTTTTGCTGAGACAGTGTCATCAAGTGGGGCCAGGGCTCCTCAGGACTTGTTGCAAGTCTGGTCCGGTGTATGTTCCAGACTGTGCTAAATCTAGAGGGTGCCCTGGATTCAAGTGGGCTTCCCATGACTCTTCTCTCTCTTTTTGATTTTCTTCAGGAGCTTGAGCGCCTTAACCAGGTGCTGGAGGCTGAGAAGCAGCAGTTTGAGGAGGTGGTGCAGGAGCTGAGAATGGAGCAGGAGCAGATCAAGAGGTGGTAGAGGTGGCCCAGAAGGGGAGTGGGGAGGAGGGCACATCTAGGTTACGGTGTGCAGAACCCATGTTCTTGGTCAGGCCTGAAGAGACCTCCGCCCAGGGGATACTCACTAACTGATGACTTGGTTTGGGTCTACATTTTCAATGCTCTAGGTCTTGGGATGTGTACAGAAGGAGCTGTAGACCCCCACAAATGGGTCGTCTCTGCTCACTGTGGAGTATGAGGTGTGGACAGGTGCAGCCAGGTATCCCTCCAAGCAGCAAGCCCCCCTCCTGCCTCCATGAAAGCCTTTCCTATCCAAGGCCAGACAGTACCCAGCTGCCCTACATGTCTCATTAACTAAGACCCCAACATTCCCTGTCTTTCCAGCACTGTCCTTTCACGTTTTGGCTAATGATGGTTGAGATCTGTAGTCCCACCTATGGTTTGCAAATTTAGTATAATCATTTACTGAATTGAAAATATCCAGAAATCTATATTTATAAAAGCCTTCCCAGCTGTCCGGGGATTTGGGGACTACTGCTCTGGATAGTGTTGGTGGTGGTGCTTGTCATCATCATCACCATTCATCATCAGTGATAGCTCAGAAAAATCTATCTTGCAACAACCTTGTAAAAGGAAGTCAAGTAGACTTGTATTTTGGGGAGGGAGATGTTCAGAGGATCTTACCAAGTGAATCGCCAAGCACCTCCTCAGCTTCCATAATTGTGCCAGACACTGGAGTAGAAGACAAGTCCCCTCTCTTGAGGATCTTACAGTCTGGTTGGGAAAACTAGACTCACACCCAGGAAACATCAACACAATAATATATAATCAGGTGTTACAAGGCATAGGCAGATTTCTTCTGTTACAGGAATTAAGAAATATGTATGATCCATGTAGGCTTGAATAGAGGTTAGATGGAGCTGGGCCATGAAGTGTGGGTAGGATTTGGAAAGCTCGGCAGAAGAGAAAGGCATTCCAAGCAGGAGGATGAGAAACAAGAGTAAAGACTTGAGGTGACCAAGGCTTGTTAAGAAGGCAGTAAGGAGTTTGTCACCCCTGAGAGGGACCTCGGCTATGTCTAATTGTCAGAGTTTGGGTTCTAGCAGGAGCTTGTATAAGGGAGATGGGGGGTGAGCCTGCGGCCCCTTTGCTTCTCCTCCAGTGCACACCTCTGTGGGGTATGGGGTGGCCCTGGGTTTGTCCTAACTGACAGATGGCATATGCACCTTGAACAAGCGACTCCAACCCCGCTTTGCCAGCAGCTGCTTCTCTCAGCCCCAGGCCCCTACAGCTGTTGTTGAGGCCCAGGTTGAAGAGGGGCTGACCTTTAAGAGCACTCTGAGCCATACCAGAAGGTGAAGGAGAAGCATTTCTGTGTGTAGAGGAGGTGGGGGTGGGTGGACACTGCCATACCCAGTCCTCTATCCCTGCAGAGAGCTAGAACTGACAGCAAGATGCCTCAAGGGTGTGGAGCAAGAGAAAAAGGAGCTGAGGCACTTCACAGAGTCCTTGCAGCGGACGCTGGAGGTGAGGGGCCACTGCTGGGCTGGTTGACTGGGATGCTGGTTGGTGGGCCATGTGATACTGATTTTTCCAATGGTGTTTCCCCAGGAAGTTATCTGCAAGGGGAATGGGGCAGGAAGGGAGGCTAATCGAAAGGGTCTCCTCTCTGTGGACCTTTGGCAACTCCAACCTGTGCATGAGGCCCAGAGCAGAAGTTCCCAGATCCAGAAGGACAAAGTCAAGCTTGCCCTTGCTGACCATGGCCTCAGGAAATCCGCCTTTTTTAGTGCTTATATTTTTATACCAGATGGAAGATTGATTAGGGTGTGTGGTGGGAGCACCTACCACTTCCTACTTGTGGCTTATTCACTTAGCTGCTCCCAGGCAAAATTGAGTATGAAGAGAAATTATCACCAGGTGACCTCTGTTTGATACCACAGAAACTGGGGAGAAGGAGGTGGCATGTGCTAAGGACAAAGGGAAACTCCATAGCATGGCAAGAAAGTGCCAACTCCAGTCCCAACCTCTCCTCTCCTCCTGCCCCACTCTCCCTCTGCTGCCCCCTGCATTCCACACAAAGACACCTCAACCCCTACTTCAAACCACTGTGCCCCCAGGAAGCCAAGATCTTTCATTCCTCCACACGTTTGCCCATACTGTTTCTTCCACACAGAATGGCCTTTCCATCTTTTCTCTGCCTGGAGAACTCCTATTCATTCTTCTAAGACCCAGCTCAAATATCACCTTAGTGAAGCTTCCTTGACTCTTCTAGGCAGGTATTTGCACTGAGCTTTGGACTCCCACAGCACTTTGTATGTCTGTTACTGGACTTAACACACTAAGTTGTGTTTTCCAAACTATGACCTTCACAAGTCTGTGTTTGAGTGGCCTCTCCAAGCCCAGCAAGTGGAGTGAGCTTCATGGGTGACCCATAAGTGTTTATGGAATCCATGAATTGCCTTGAAGGCTGAGGGGGTTTCCTTTCCATTCTTCCTTGACTGGCTGAGGCTTTGTTCTGGTGCCTTTATTTGTTTATCTTTCCCTGTTTCACAGCCTGGAGGTGGTTCTTACGGATATTTTCAACTCCAGAATTTCTGTACTGTGCAAAATCCCAGTCTGATAAGTGGGAGAACATCTAAATCTGCTCTTGGGCTGGCTCCTGTTAAATGTTTTTCACATGAAGCCAACATACCTCCTCAGTCAACCCTGGAGGAACAAAGACGTCAGAAGGTCATGGTGCCCTTGGGCCTTGAGACTCAATTTTAGTAGGTGCCACCTCCCACTGGAGGCTGCCTTGAACTGCTCCCTGACTCTCTTGTTGGGGCTCAGGGAAGAGTGAAGATATTTCAGGTGTTCCCCACAGAGGATTGAGAGAAGAGGGCATCACTCCCTGGAATTGGAAGGCAAGTGAGAGCAGCCATGTTAGAGTACCTCAGTTAGGCTCTTTCTCTTCCTTCCCTCCTAACTCCAGGAACTCTCCTTAGAGAAGAAGAAAACCTTGGAAATGCTGGAGAAGAATGAGAACCAGCTGCAGACACTGGCCAGTCAGAGTGAGCAGCCCCCTCTCAGTGGGTGTCTCCATAGTAACCTAAGGCAAATTGAGGAGAAGATGCAGCAGCTCTTGGAGGAGAAGCTTCTGGCAGAGAAGAGGTGAAGTAGCCCAAGATTCATAAGTCTATGGTCAGCTTAGGGTCTGAAAACTTTCCTCAAACTGATGCCTGGACTCAGTTGCCACTGACCAGATAGGCCACTCACTTCCTTTTGCCTAGAACTTGGTTTCCCCACCAGGCAAATGGCTGAAGAACCCAATGCTGATTCTATAATAATCTCTTGCAATAGTGTCAACCATACAGATTACCTCTAGGCTGTTATAGCAGTGCTTTGTGGAAGCCTGGGCAGGTACTCTTAGCCCCTTTTTACAGATGAGGAAACTGAGGCTTAGGGGGGTTATATGACCTTCCTGAGGTCACAGAGCTAGCAAATCCTAGAGCCAAGACTCTGGTCTCCTAACTCTAGGGCTCCCATCACTGACCATACCATCCCCCTCATCACCTGGGTGACAAAATCTAGGAAGTTCTGCGGCTCACAAAGCGTGGGCCTCAGTGTTCCTCCAGCCTGGTCTCTAAGAGGGACTGACTTGCTCACATGAGAAGCAAGTGAGCACTGAGTGTCTCCTCTGCCCTGGCAGGATGAAGGAGAATGAGGAGCGCTCGCGGGCCCTGGAGGAGGAGCGTGAGTTCTACTCAAGCCAGTCCCAGGCACTGCAGAGCTCACTGCAGGAGCTGACGGCAGAGAAGCAGCAGGCCGAGCGGGATCTCAAGGTGCTGGCCCAGACCTTCTGGGGTCCATGTGGGCTAAGGGGCCCTTCCCTCACCTGGAGATGGCCCCCACACAGGCCCTTCACACCCCCACACTTTACCAGGTGGCTGCCTGAATGATCTCTGCCACTCTTCCCAGATAGCCAGCTGTAGGCGATGGAGCCTCCACAAAGGGAAGCAGCGAGTCTGGCACACTTCAGTGGGGCATCATTGATAGACACCTGCTGGGTGCATGGGCTGAGTTCTGGCCACCTGGCTGAGGGGATAAGACGTGGAGGCAGGATGTAGTAACTTCCATCCAAGTTTGGAGGCGAGAAAGCCCACTTGAGCCAGAGGTGACCAGGGAAGTCTTCCGTGGGAGATGGCAACTATTCTCCAGGACCAATTTCCTCCCCCCTCAGGCTGAGGTGAAGGTCCGCATGGACTTGGAGAGGCGTCTGCGGGAGGCAGAGGGGGCCTTGCGGAGCCTGGAACAAGGGCTCAACTCCAAGGTGCGCAACAAGGAGAAGGAGGAGAGGATGCGGGCTGACGTGAGCCATCTGAAAAGTAAGTCCTGACCCCAGGTATTTGGGCCCTCAGCTCTGGAAGAGGCCCTGGTGTCCAGCATAGGGCTTGATGTGTATTAGGTGTTCAGTACTGTCAGTACAGGCGTTGAGGTTATCTAGTGCTGCTGTAACAGAAATACCACAAGTGGGTGGCTTTAACAAACAGAAATTTATTTTCTCACAGTTTAGGAGGCCAGAAGTCCAAACTCAGGGTGCCAGCTCTAGGGGAAGGCTTTCTGTCTCTGTCAGCTCTGGAGGAAAATCCTTGTCTCTGCTAAGCTTCTGCTCCTGGGCAGTCTTCAGGTGGCTTGACATCTCTCTTCCTCCATCTCTGCTTCCTAGCTTGTGTTTAATCTCTTATATGTCAAAAGAGATTGACTCAAAATACACCCTACACTAATCCTGCCACATTAACATAACAAAGACAACCCATTCCCAAATGGGATTATAACCACAGGCATAGAGGTTAGGATTTACAACACATATTTTGGGGGGACATAATTCAATTCATAACATTCCACCGTTTGGCCCCCCAAAATTCACACCCTTGCCACATGCAAAACATATTCACCCCATCACATCATCGCAAAGGTCTTAAATCAACTCCACGTCCAAAATCTCATATTCTGAAGCATCTAAACTAAAGATGGGTGAGACTTTAGGTATATTCCATCTTGGGGCAAAATTCCTCATCTGTAAACATGTGAAATCTAGAACACAAGTTGTCTCCTTCCAAAGTACAATGGTAGAACAGGCACAAGGTATATATTTCCATTACAAATGGGAGAAATTGGAGGGGGAGAAGGGATAACAGGCACCAAGTAACTCCAAAACCCAGCAGAGCAAATTACGTTAGCTCTCAAGGCTTGAAAATAATCCTCTGTTCTCTGAGACTGTCTGGACAATGGCTCTGCCCTTCAGACTCTGGGTGTTGGCCAGCCCTCTAGATTCTGTGTGGAGACCCCTTAGCCCTGAGCTTCAGCTCAGCCTTCCAGGCCCATTGGGATGGCAACTCTGCTCACTTCGCTTTGGGCGGCCCCATTCTCCTAGTTCATCCCCACTCCCTCAGCCCCGCAGCCCCCCCTTGGCCCCAGCAGGCCCTGTTCTTCTGCTCCTTGGGCATGGCAGCCCTGCCCCCTCAGCTTTGGGTGGCAGCTTCATCTCCCAGCACACTGTAATGGTAGCTCTACACTACAGAATCAAGCTGGCAAAGATCTGACTCTTTTAAAACCTAGGAGGCTGTGGCCCCACGCTTTGAAACCAGGAAGGCCCTGCTTCCCGTGCTCTTTCCAACAGTTCTGCTGATCTGTAAGCTTCTCCAGGGATGGTCTTTTTCTTGGAGGACAACAGATATAGCTCCTTTGGCCTGTTTCCTACCTGTACAATTCCAAAAGGCAGACAGTTTTCTTTCCTTTCATTCTGTCTCCGACCCCTTCAGTCTTAAGCTCATGGGTTTTCTGCTGTGATAGTTGGTTGGATACATCAGGCACAGGCTTAATCTCTAACAAAAGATTGTGTAGCCACATCCTTGGTGAACATTCTAGGACACAGGTCCTTAGTTTGTACAAGAGAATTTTCCAAATCTTTAAGTTCTGTTTCCATTTTGCACAGTGCATTTTTAAGTCCATCTCTTTCCTCTCACATTTTACTATAAGTGGCAAGGAGAAACCATGTGGGCTCTTTAAGATCTTCCTTAGAAATCTCATGAGCCAGATATCCAAGTTCATCACTTACAAGTTCTACCTTCCACCAAACATTTGAATATAATTCAGACAAGTCCTCTGCCTTTGCATAAAAAGTATAGCCTTTCCTCCATTGTCCAATCATAAGGCACATCATTTTCTTTTAAAGCCTCACCAGAGGCACTTTTAATGTCCACATTTCTAGCAACATTCTGTTGCTGGTGCCATATGTATTCTCTAAGATGACAGAGACTTTATAGCTCTCCTCACTTTCCTTTGAACCCTCACCAGAATTACATTTGACGTCCATAATTCTACCAACAGTCTCTTCAAGGCAATCTAGGCTTTTACTATTAGGCACCTTAAAACTCTTCCAGCCTCTACCCATTACTGAATTCCAAAACTGCTTCCACATTTTAGGTATCTGTTAGAACAGCATCCCACTCTTCGGGTACCAAATTCTGTCTTAGTTATTTAGTGCTTCTGTAGCAGAAATACAAGTGGATGACTTTAACAAACAGATTTATTTTCTCACAGTTTAGGAGGCTAGAAGTCCAAATTCCGGGTGCCGGCTCTAGAGGAAGGCTTTCTCTGACAGAGTTTCTTCCCTAGACACCTGCCTGTAGGTGCCTCCTTGGCGCTGCTTCCTTTAGCTGTGGGTTGTGGGGTGGGAGCTGAGGGAAAAGCCTAGAGTTTCTTCCCTTTTTCAAAAGCTTAGAGCTTTTGTTTTCAGCAGCCCTCCCACAAGATGGCTGCAGGTTGTGGTTTGATGAGCAAAGGTGGTTCTGGTCTCTCCAGGGATGGGGGTCAAGATTTCCCACTCAACGCTACCTGGGTTCTTAGGAGGGAAGGAGGGGCAGGAGCAGTGTCACTGCATCCTTCTTGGCCTGCCACACAGGGTTCTTCGAGGAGTGCATCCGCAACGCGGAGCTGGAGGCCAAGATGCCGGTCATCATGAAGAACTCCGTGTACATCCACAAGGCGGCCACTCGTCGCATCAAGAGCTGCCGCTTCCACCGGCGCCGCTCCAGTGCCTCCTGGAATGACAGTGAGTGCATCATCTGTGTCACAGGCCTTCGGTGACAAGGCAAGAGGAGAGCACACTGGGGAGTGTAAGGCCTGGCCCGGGTCTGAGGCCGGACAGTGCGGCCTTGAATCTGGCTCTGCCAGAATTCTCAGAGCCTTGGGTTCCTCACAGGTTGTGGGAGCCATGGACAGGAGGGGTTGGGGAGAGGCTCAGTGGCTGAGGCAGGTGTGCATAGGACTGACTGTGAGGCGGTGGTTGTGGGTGGCTGGTGTAGGGACCAGACAGGCCTTGGTGGAGGGAGCGCTTGTTCACACTGGTCGGGGCCACTGTCTCCCCAGTGAAGCCATCCCAGTCCTTCATGACCTCCCAGCTGGAAGCCAACAACATAGAGGAACTTAAGGAGGTGGCCAAGCGGCTCAGCCGAGACCAGCGCTTCCGGGAATCCATCTACCACATCATGGCAACCCAGCCTGGAGGACCTGCCGCGCTTCCTCGGGGTGGAAAGTGATGGATGCTTCTCCCTTGCTTCCCAAGTCTTTCTCCCATGGGCTGGGAGAGGGGAAGAGGCACTGATGGAAGCCTGACCAGCCTGGCTCCCCTTAGCTGTCTGGGGGTTGCCTCTCCTCTGGACCAGAGCTCCCCTTGGGAGCTCACCCTCATCCCCACCCCAAACCCTGTCCTTGGGTCTATACTAGGCCTGTGCAGGCCTGAGCTGGGGTGCCTGGTCACCATGGTTGTATGTGGAGATGTTTTTGGGTGGGAGTGGGGTGGGGAAGGAGAACTTAGAGTCCCACTGTGTGCTCTGCTGTGTGGGCAGGCAGGGCCAGCCCCTCTGGTTAAGACAGCAACCCTCTCTTGTGTCCACTGTGTCTCTCTGGCCCTCCCTGTGTGACTGCTGGCCTGCCCCTGGTCCTCATGTATAAAGGCCCTACTCCCAGCCCATCTTGATATGCCTTTGTCCCCTGGGGGTTCCTGGCCCTTTCTTTGCTTCTGACACTCACTGGACATTCCTCAGCCGAGGCCCCTCACTGCACATCGTGGAGTAGGGAAGAAAGGGACCTAGGAAGCAGCATCTGGGCTCACAGCACCCCACACTTGCCATGGTACCACCTTTCCTGAGGTTTGGGGACCATCCAGTGATGCCCCTGCCATTCAGGTGAACTCAGGCACATGTAGCCTCTGCACCCAAGGAGGATGGTGTGACCCCACCATGTCCCTTCCATGTATGTACCTAGGACCCTGGGACTAGCAGAGGCACTGAGGGCTTTCCCAGATGGTGCTTAGCTAGCTCAGGGCATGGAAGAAGGTGGCCCTGGCTTTTGGTCAGGCTGGGAGGCAGCCGCCCCTGGCTATAGCAGCCCTGCTGGTCTGTGTGGTCACAGATGTCTCCCTCCCAGCTGCCCCTGCTTTGGTCACCTTGCTTCCCCCTCCCCCTGCAGAGGCTCCACCAGTGAAATAATATGACCATGAACCCTGTCAGATGAGGAGCTTGGGCCGCTGGCAAGGCCAATAGCCATTAATCATCTCAGAGCCGTTGTGGGTGAGGCTGAACTCCCATCTGCAGCTTTTGTGGAAGACTGCCACTCCCTAGGGGGCTGAAGGCTGTGGAGTGTGTTCCTCACCCATGGATAGAAAAGTCTGCCCTGCTGTTCTTCCTCTAACCCTACCCTCTGAAGCTACCTATGTCTGTCCGTCTCTCCAGAAAAGGCATCTACCTGGGACCAGGGTGCTCGGGACTCTAGTGGTATTAAAGATGCTGTTCTCTGATGCTTGGAACACTGAGGGAGGTGCTGGGTCTGAGAGATGGACAGTTGGCTGCAGGGAAGCCTGGCAGAAGGTGCGGGCCCCTGGGAGTTTGTAGCCTATTCTGTGAGGAGAGGAGTGTCATGTCCCCCGAGATCACATGTACATCTGTACTCAGGGCTGCCTGCTGACACCCACTTCCATGGTCCCTTCTTAGTGATGGATGGACTTTGATGGAAGCAACCAGTCTCTGCAGAGTCTAGGTGGGGACAAGGGTGGGGGCGGGGTGGAGTGGAGATGAGGGCAGACACAATGCATCTGAAAGGGCTGAGTGTGAATGTCAAAACTTTAAACACACACCTCTCTATTTTCTCTACATGTATATGCCTGCATAACCCTGGAACTAATTTATCAAATATGTATGTGTGAGGGAGAAGATTTCCAAAACCAAGATAATTTTATTTATTTTATTGTTTTGTTTTGTTGTTAAGAAATTAAATTAATGGCTTGCTCTTGGGGAAAGATCTTTTGGAAATTTTCAAATGCACCTCCCCTCCCCCCAGACAAACTGTGAACCAGATAGGAAAGCGCTCTTCGATGCACATTCACCAGTCTCTAGTCCTTTCCTCCTGTTCTCACCCTGTGCTCCCTATGCCTCAGGCCAAGTCTGGGCTATCTTTAGCCAGCTGATCAGTCCGTAAGTATTTATTTGTTAAAAGCTCACTGTGTACCTACCATTGTAAATAGAAAAAGAGCCAACATCTCTACGTGAAAATACGTAGGGGTGAAAATTGCTTACTGGAATATTCTAATCTGATTTTTTTTTTTTTTTTTAACAAAACCTTTATTTCTTGGCCAATTAAATGTGTTGTTTCCTGCAGTATCTCTTTTAAGTACATGGTGTAGTCTTTGCTGGAGAGACATTGCCTCCTGCAGGCCAAATGTGGAATTATAGAATCACCTGCTTGTACTTTCTCCACACACACACACACACACACACCCCACACACACCCACACACCCACCCACCCACCCACACACACACCCACACACCCCTCTCTATTTTCTCTGCATATGAGGAAGTACTCCACTGCTACACCTCCTGTGAGTGCCTTTTTAATAATTAGCTGACAAATCTGTGTTCCCTCCCCGAGGTCCTGGCTGTCCCCTTGTAACAAGAACTCTCAGCTGGATTTTCTTCTGATTTGAGCTCAGACCAATGGGACAGACTGTGCCAGTGGGAGTTGCCTCAGGAAGACAAAGGATACCTACTTTTATGACCTGCTAGTTTCAGTATCCCGACTGGAAGTTGACAGAGCTGATCTGATGAGAGGTTTATGCTGTTTCGTTTTGTAATCAGATAAGGAAGAGCCAGAAATTAGTGAGAAACAGTAATGGCTGGATTATCTTCCTATTTGGTTTACTTCCTATCTATGTTGTTAGGTTTGCCCAGGACCGTCCTAGATTAGGTTGTCCTAGCGTAATTATTAATGGCTCCCCATTTTACTATCGCAAGTGTCCTAGTTTGGGTGACAATTCTGTGGTCACACTGGTTGTAATGCCTTCCCCAATGAGATGTTGATGTGTAAAACACTTGGATTTTGCCTCACTTCCCAGATCCCAGCCCCTGGGAAGGATCCACAGCCTCTCTTTTGTCTTTGGAGGGCTGTAATTCTTGCCCCCACCCCCACCTATCCCACGTGCTCGGCCTATGGTGGTCAGGTGCTGTCTGAGGTGAACCTGCATCACTAGCACGTCTGGAGCCTGCCCACAAATGACGATCGTGTTGCTGGGTGGAAACCCCTGGTTCTGCTCCGTGTGACTTGTCTCAGCCAATAAACGAGAGACTGAGGTGGGAGAGTAGAAAGGCACCTTTATTTTGTTATGCAAGGAAAGGGACAGTCAGGGCTGCTGCCGCCATACTGTTCAGCAAGGGTGAGGGGGAAGGTTACTTTTAAGGGGTTTAAGTTCATACAAGTTACATCAGCAACATTCTTAATCATACTACACAGGTACAGTGGGGTTTACATATAACTTCATGCATCACACGTTCAGAAAATGGCGGTTAAACTCCACCCAGAGGCTGGGAAGTTACTATGTATGAGTTATTTAATGAACTAAAAGGTTGTCTTGAATGTCAACATGGCACCTAAACCAGTTTCCATGAATTTCCTCTAGTTTTGGGCAGCAGTTAAGGAGACGGGAACCAGGATTTTAATGTAAAGCAAGCTGCTTGAGGCAGTGGAATTTTCTACAGCCTGGGGACCTCTGTCTTAATAGTGGAACAGAAACTTGCTCAAGTCTCAGTAAGCCAGTCCAGGTGGTGTCAGGTTTGGTCTAACTGGAAGATAAGTTATTAAACCCACCAGACAATGCAGCTGCTCTGGAGCCCTCAGATCAAGGCCAGCAGCCCCTATTGAACCTTGTGTGTTTCCTACATTTGCCAAGATGAAGCTGCTCAGATTCCCAGGTGCCTGCAAGGTCTCCTCGGGGCCTCCTCCAATGTTAGAAGCCCTGTGGCTTTGAATCCTGGGGGAAATGCTACTGACTTCTCTTATCTCGCCCCACCCCTGGGTGAGCAGGGGTAGAGGAATGCTCTGTGCAAGTCTTTGGGAGAGGATACCGTAGTTCTTGTCTCTTGAAAAGAGAGATCCACTCCCATACATTCAAAGCAACTGGGAGAAACCGGTTATTCAGACTTCCAAGCGGTTGTGATGGGTGTGGGAGACATGTTCAGGTCCAATTCTCTTGACTCTTTGCACATCTCACTTTCTTGTCTCTTCCCTGGATTTGAGCTTCTATTCATGGCTACCAACTCCTCTGACCCCTAAACAAGCCTCACTGCTCCATCCTACTGGGTTAAAGATATTCAGGGGATTTAGGAAGCAGTCCAAGCCCAAGAATCCTAGTGGTTAGGGGTCCAAATAAACTGTATCCCCATGTGGTGAACTCTACCTCCAACTGCCACCAAACGTTACATACAGTCTACCATTCTATGTGTCACTCTCGCTTTGCCTTTGGGTGAGACTTGATGATCCAGCAGGGAAGTTGGGGTGACTCAGGATGGAAGGTCAACACTGGGAGTTCCAGGGGACGCCGGGCAGTTGCAGAGCAGCTGACGGTGCATTTGGAGCTCATGCCCTGTGCTTCTCCCAGAGGATCTGACACCTGCCTCTTGAGTGAGAGTCCTGCTATGAAGAGATTCCACCCGCCCCTGTTGTCCTGGCAGAAACTACTACTAGCAGGTCTTGGATTGTCACTGATCACAAGGAGAACCTTTCCCCCTGCAGAGCAGTGACTCCAGTGACAGGACACCTGGGGGGAGAGGGGGGAACTTGCTGTACAATCTGCCTGCAGCTTTGTAGTGCTCGGGAAGGCCTTGGTGGTGAAAGATAGGCCTCTACTTTGCCACTTACTGGCTTTGGACAAGTCACTATTTAAAATGCTTTATATATTTATGTATTTTTATTGGGTAGAAAATAAGTCTCTTAAATCTTATGAGGATGCTCCCTTTCCTGGGAGAGGGAGACTCCTTTATCATTGTCATTTAACCTCTCCTATCCTCACCCTGGTGGCTCAGTGGTTAAGAGCTATCAGTGCTAACCAAAAGGTCAGCAGTTTGAATCCACCAGGCACTCCTTGGAAACCACATGGGGCAGTTCTACTCTGTCCTATAGGGTCGCTATGAGTTGGAATGGACTCGACGGCAACAGGTTTGTTTTTTTTGCTTTTTTAATCCTCACCTGGTCTAAAATCCACCAACCTTGCAGGGGCATAATTTTCCACAAATTCTTCTCCTCCAAAAAGCTCTAGACTGGTACTATCC